GAACAAAACGTTTTCCAGGAGAGGAAGCCAGAGTTCAGCCAGACCCTGAAGAGCCTGGGAAAAGCAGCAGGCTGTGTCAGTGCTTACAGGCAGCAGTGCTGGAGGCGAGGTCCTGGGGCCCAAGTACTCTTCACTGAGCATCTTTGAGGCACTGTAGCTTTGTGCTGACCACAGGACCTGCTGCTAGCGGCCCAGTGTTAGCACTGTTGGAAAGATTGAAGCAAGCCTGTTGATTGTAGCCACTGCTTCTTTAGGGGGTGAAACAGACCCAGAAGAGCCCTGATTCCTGCTTTTTCCAGACCTTTTACTGTAAATGTACACCATTCTCCTGCTACCTTGTTGTGCCCTGACTGGCTGCTCCTGAAAACTCTCAGGAGAAGCCAGAAATGGGAACTGATGTTCAAGGTACTAAATAAAGATACAGGATTTCATCAGCAATCCAGCTGCTCACCTCAGGCTCCAGCCTGGGCAATCGCAGTCTTGAATGCCACATTGTCAGCCTCAGCTCTGCTCCCTGCCACGAGGTGCAAGGCGAGTGTGGCTGGTAGACACAAACCCCACAGTCCTGTGAAGCAGGTTGGTGTTTGTAAGGCAGAAAGAGCATATGGGGCATTGGAGCTCCTGAGCCATCTCTGGGTGCGTGCTGGGGGGCTTGCACAGCTGAAAGGGGAGCAGATGCAGTAAGTGTGGTGTGAAGCTGAGCAACACCCACCACAAGCAGCCCTGGGGCACCCGCTGCTCAAAAGCCAGTCACACAAACCAACCGCAGAAAGGTCTTGATTTGCCTGAAAGAGGCAACAAATTTGGCTGGTGGCTGAGCAGGAGCCAGGGTGTCTCCATTCACTGAGGAACTGCGCTGAGGTGGGGACTCTTCAGCAGTGACTGGCACAGCCGTGCGACTTGGCGACAGCTCCAGTAAGCTGCAAGGGCTGTGACTTGGTCCTGTTCTCACTACGGTGCAATGACTTCCCCTAAAGAGCGGTGACAGAGGGGGCTTGGCTGGGCTGCAGGGAGTGAAGAGGACATTTCTACACGTCCTCAGTTCTGCCGTCTCCAATTCCCACCCTAAGCAACTTTGTTCAGCTTTCCTCTGCCTCTGTGAAACACCAGTTGCAGGCAGCAGCTGTCAAGTTTCTGCGTCCTCCCTCGCCCGAGATGTGTCCTTCTTCCACGGGGTTTGGTGCCTGTGGCACCAGAAAGAGGGCTTCCTGCAATTCAGCAGTTCCCTGCTACCACAGTGCAGGAGTTTCCTTCAGAAACAGATGGTGCCCAACAGCTGCTGGTAACAGGCATTCAGATCTGCTCTGCAGCCAGAGCAGTTCAGGGGCTCAGAGAAGTCACAGGATCCCCATGCTTGGAGATACTCTGGACTCAATGGAACAAGGTCCTGAGAAACCTGATCCAAACTGGATCTTCTCCTAGCAGGATTACAGACCACCAGATTGCCTCTCCCAGCCGCAATTATTGTTCAATTCTGTGATTTCTTTTCTTGTGTAACTGCAAACACCACTTACAAAAATGACCCAAAGTGAACGTGCCCAGGAGCCCTGGCTCCATACCTGCTCAGGCAGCGCGCTGTGTCCTGAAAGCCAGGCAGCCCGTGCTGCCTCAAAGGCACCTGAGCAGTGACAGTTTGGTTTCACTTACCCCTTCCAGAACTTCGGAGCCTCCCAATGGGTCACTTCTGCCTCCCATGACCAGCTGAAGGAAGCACTGCTCCTGCCTGCATTTTGCTGTGTGCAGGAGGTTCCAGTGGAGGAGGCATGAAGCAAAGGCCCTTGCCTCCCTGATTGTAGCATGACAAAAAGTAACACATTTGTAGGGCTTCAACTCCATTGTATTAAGTATGCATATACTAATTTAGATGGTAACATAATCAGTAGGGATTGAGATCCTGGTCAGATGGGGGGAGAGGAAAGTAACCCCTCTGCCTGGCCCAGGTGAAGTCCATTCAGGTTGCAAGTCAACAGCTAACAGTGTTGCATCAACACTTACCTCGATACCACCTGCTAATCAAACTAACTTGAGATGAAGCTTTCTTGGCAAGATCCACTGTCCATAAAACCCCGTTGAGTGGCACAACACTACACTGCCACCTCCCAGCCCTTGGCCCATGACTGCTGCCAGGCAAGGCTGTGCTGTGCTGAGCTGGGCAGGTTGTCTGGGGCCAGTTGCTGGTGTGGGGCTTGTCTTTGTTACAGTCCTCTGGAACTCCTCAAGAAAGAAAGAAAAACCTACCAACCCAAAGGGATCGTTAGCCAATTCTTAACATTCTTGGGTGGGAGCTGTCTGGTGTCGAAAATTGTGCATTTTAGCATTTTCTCCTAGATTATTTGTGGAGCAGAGCTTCACTCTTACTGGTCTGTGAGAATCAATACCAGCTTCTTTCCAAGCAGAACATTTTAACCCTTTGTTTTACCTTTGACAGTAGCGTGTAAGTTTTCTCATCTCCAGCTATACACAGTTGCAGACCATTTTGAAGATTTATGTTGTTCATTATGTAGCTGGAGATGCCAGTTCCTCTTCAAATCCTTCAGTACCTCTTGTCCTGGAAAGGCAGCAATGGGGTCTGCTGGCCGTTGTCATGGGGTCATGTCCTGCTGTGACCCAGTTCTGATGCTGGTGTTTCAGTCTGCTGAGCTTCAGCAGAACCACACATCAGACACATCCTTTTTTCAGCACTAGTCACTCCTGGAGCTGAATCCCCCCCGAGGCCTTTGCAGGAGGGCAGGGCTGGTCAGGGAGGGGAGAGGAGCTACTGACAGCTCCAGGTTTGGTAACAGAGCCTGGGAACTTCCTCTCCACGTGCCAGTCTCCCTGCAGGTGTCAGAGGTGCACGGGGTAGGACAGATCCACGTACGAAATCAGTGAGTGCTTCCTCGTGAATACCGTGCTCTCCCAAATGGGGCCTTTTACCTTTTTGGTTCCTCACATACTTCTCGCTGGCTAAAGAGTGACAGAGAAGTTCATCCTGAGGGAGATGTGTCAGGAGAGGCTATTTAAAATCTAGAATAATGAGTCAGGTGTTTACTAGGGGACCAGGCAGTGGGGAGAGCATTCAGAGTCATCGAAGGCTGATGGGGCACGATGCTGCAGTTTGCCTTGAAATCAACAGAAGGTTTTGGAGAGGTATTTTGTAGCTACACCATTGACAGATGAATTAGTACTGGGCTCCATTCATCCCACATTTCCATGGTGGACAAGGGAGCCGTTATTTTTTGCAACTGTGGGCTTTATTGTAACAGTATTATCACAGTCTTTTCCTCATCTCTGCTGCCACACTCTTCTCAAGCACACCTTGCAACAAATTCACCCCCAGTTAGCAAGTCCTCCAAGCCTGATATGTTTTTGAGCCGTGGATCTCAACAGATGGAGCAGTTGTTTTTTACTACCACACTGAAGCTGCAGGGCAGAGGCACAGCTGAAGGTGGCTGCCTGGTCTAACATGGGGTTTGTATACACTCTTCATACAGTGGTGAGACAAATGTCTTGAAGGTAGAGAACAGAAGCTAAATTCCCACTGGCTCAGGAAATATTTTATTCTTTATATTTTCATTAAAAAATAAACATGGGAAACAAAACCACAGAACACTTGTGTGATAGAAACAAACGCAGAAGGTCAGAGCGTTGGCTGAAAGTGCATTATTAAGTCATGCTACCACGTCCCTGATCCCACCCTGTCCCCCAAGCAAGGAGTCAGCAGTAAGCTCAACGAGCAGCACTACACAGAGCCCAGGCACTGCGGGGGCCAAGCTGATGGCGGAGGAGAGCCCGCGCTGCCAGAAATGCAGCAAGGCAGGAGACATGCTGAGGAGAGAGTGCTCTAGTGAGCCAGTGATGAAGCTCTCACTTGGGGTTCGTGGGGCAGGCGAAGGATAGCTAGTGTAAGAGGATGTGGAGTTACAAGGCAGGGGAATAAACAGCTGAAAACAAAGGGCAAAACGGAATCCTGATGTCATTCCAAAACAGCCCTGGAAGCAGAAAAGTCCTAGATAAAAGGAAAATCAACACAATAAACTTGATTGAAAGGCTGACATGGGTGCGCTGGACAGAGATCTGTCCAGGGACGAACCCCAGTCGCTCACCAGCAAGATCTACAGTGATAGTAGCAAGTGTGTCCCTACTTTCAGGGCCTGAGCCTCTGCAAGGTGACCTCCCCACGGGGGTGGGAGCAAAGGCACTGCTGCATCACAGCAAGGCTCCTGCTGCCAGAAAATGCAGTTCTTTGCAGCTGGGTCTGTCAAGCTTTTCAAGGGAAATACGATGTGATGAACCTCGCTGAGCCCCCTGATCAGAGCACAAAAGCTGCAGACCTGCTTCTACACCAGGCAATGAGCTTTTCCCCCTGCCCTCTGTCCCCTGCAGCCTCAGGCTTTTGGGTCTCAGTAGTTGACAGCTTTGATCTGCGACTCCTTTTGTGTGCACACCTGTGAGGAACCTGCAGATGCAGCTACAGTGCAGGACCCCCTTACACATGCTCACTCAATTTGGCTCTGCACTGATGTGCGCTTGAAGAGCATGTTTAAACATTCAGTATGTACAAGATGATTTGAAGCTGAAACATAAGAGCAGCTGGATTCACCCTCGCACATCCACTCGGCTGAGAGCAACCACAGGACCTGCGTGGTCCTGCAGCGGCTGAAGAGACCACCCAGTTTTATGTACATGTCCTTGGAAGCATTCACCAGGCTGGCTGATACCAAGGCTGGGGGCATCTCTGCTCTGCCAATAGACTTAGCCACAGGAACAGCAGAGAATGCAGCTTCTCCTGGCCTACTTCACCACATTTCTCCAGCTTCACACAGAGCCCCGAATTCAAATGACTGCTGAGATAACATGTTTATGCACATGCTCTAGTCAAAAGCAGCACAGAAAGCTGCTGTTCTGGTGCCTATTTCCACAGCATCCACAACTCTCAAGAACAGTCACTGCAAATCATTTGGGACTCTTCCTCCAGCCGAGACTTTTTAGGATGTTCTTCTTTCTAAGTTCCCTCCAGATCACTTCTCCCGAAGGACGCAGACTCCAGCGTCACAGCGCTGCATCCCCAGGGAGGTTACCACTTCCCAGTTGTCAATGATGGGATCATAGCACTCAATGCTGCTCAGCAGTGAGTTGCCATCGTATCTGCAAGGACAGAAAGTTACAGGTGAGGGATGCTGCTGAAGGAAGAGGTTGAGGCATTCAGAG